ATGGTAGCTCTCAATCACGATCCAATATATAAAAAAATCTGGTTTGATAGAATTTAGGCTGAGGTGGTTTCAAGTATAATATAGGATTGCACAATGCATCTTTTAACATTTCAGAGCATGATATGACACTAACACCACTTTTGAATAAAACATCAAATTCCCCAAATCTAAGAAGGCATGTGTCGCTATCAAAAGCAATGAGAAACTAACTACCAACATGATTATTTGAAGTATAAATTAAAATGTCTCTTTGCCAAAAAGATTTTTTTTCCAGTTGGACATCCCTTCATTACACATTCTGATCAGTTGTTGCCTACACATCTATTTATTCAAATTATTCCTCCGCTTATTTAACAATTTCCATATCGGAAAATGTGTGTACACAAATGAGTTACTTCAGCGTTCAAAAAACGTCCTGTAATTCTGATCCTCAGAATTTTTGTCATCAATGCCACTTGAGCCCTGATAGATTTTTCCCAATTCATTATAATTAAGGTTGAAATGAAAATAAAGGATCTGCATGTTCCTGGACTCGAAGTAGACTGATTTGACAAAAGTAACCTATGTTAAGAATTAGTTAGTTTCGTAGCTAGATGGCACAAAAATTTGCAACCTCTAGCATAGTTTATGCAAGTCAGTTAGAAAAACACGGCAAGCCGTCGGTCCCATTGCGAGTTCAAAGAGTGCGGCAGCGCGGCCCGACATACACTATGTATGATGTCTTCGACCTGAGAAATCGTTTTTCTCTACTACTGACAGCTCTCGGCGATTTTCAATGACATCACATCAAATCAATTATTCACAAACAAGAAAAGATTTTATGTGAAATAATAAACCTAACAAATGCGAAAAGTGACTTTACGCACATGTTAGGTACACTATTTTTTCTAGTAGCATGCGGAAAAAAAGAAATTGCTTTCCTATTCCTCACTCATTGCAGTGTTGTTTTTAGTAGAAAAAAATATTACATTAGAAAACGTGTACTAGTAGTGTGGAAAACTAATATTAAAACCACGGCACAGCTGATATTTTTTGGTCAAAATGAGATTTTATTGATGCCGAGTCAGTGCATGAGCTGACAAAATATCTTGAGCATCAAAAAATACAGAAGCCTTGAAATAAGTCTAATGCATTATCTCCTACTGTATTATAGTCGTTTTATTTCACGTAATTCCTCCTAATTCAGTAAATACGTTGTTTTTGTTGATATTAAGTGCATTCTTCAGTTCGAGAAAAGTTTCAATCGAATCAATTGCATGAACTAATATTCAGGATGATAATAGTTGCACTGCCTATTGAAAAAATTTATTTGGATTTGTATATTCGTGTATTATTGCAGAATATTCTTATTTCTTCGTCCTGAAATGTTCAAGGGAAACCAGTTAGGAGATATTGCAAGTAGTCTTAGGTGACCCAGTATATTTCAATGACATAATAGTTATTTACTTTAAATGTCCCGTAGATGACTTTGACAGTAAGAGTAAGACGATCCAGGACGAGTTGATTAGTCGAGTCTGGAATATCTAAACGAAAAATTTCGGTCATTTTCGTAGATCTCCGAAAGTATTCGGAATTTTTCAAATTTCAAAACGGCATTTTTTAAGGTATAAAATGGTGCAACTATGCCATCATTCAATCGACCCTGTATCTCTTGCGCCTTACGAGATCCCAATGATCAGACTCTAAATCCAGCCATTGTTTTCTTTCTCCGATATATCACACCAAATTCACAAGAATAAATGTCAATGGGTTATTCGTGTCTGATCACTGAATTTTGATCCAAAAATATAAATAATACATTCTCTGGACTTTTTCGCAAACAACGACTTGACTTCTTATAACTATAATTATTGTAAAATTGGATGATTTATCCAAAAGACTAGAGATATTCCAATTATCGATAGTGATAAGGACAGAAAAAATCTCTTCATATAGAGGTATGGTTGATTTGAACAGTAATATGATCCGTTGGTCTGCACTAATTCGACTGCTATGAAACTATGTGAAGCGATGATAGTTATTGATATTACTTTAGCGGTTTTTAAATAATACTAAACTGTAGGGCAGATCAGAGCAACTCATGATATAAGCAGGCATTGGCTAATCAGTCAGTTTTGAGTCCAGGAATATGCAGTGCCACCTCGTTGATTTGTTAAATTGGGATACGAAGGTTTTTCTTTCAGAAGGGTGTTCCGAGAAATACCACAGGAGGATTCAGAATCAAATCTATATCATCAATGTAAATTAAGAATTCTAAATTTTGGCCATTAACATACCTGATGGAAAAGTTACGGAGACATTTCTTCCATCAGCAATATTTAAACATAGAAGCTCTTTTAACCAGGGTGTTCCTGATATATGTGCCATTATCTCAGCAGGTGATGTAATGTGTCAAAACACTTGACACGTGTGACATTTTTCAAATTAATCATTGAAAATATTTATTTGAATTTCAAGAACGTTTGCTGAGAAAGGTTGTTTCTACACACATGTGTCACAAATTAGAGCGTTTTATTGCAACTTTTAGATATTGATATTTTTTTCAAGTTCTAAGATATTTCTGTAATATTGATAAAATTGTAAAGTCGCCAAAACTGTTCAATACCAGGAAGTAGCCTCATCATGCAACTAACTTTCAATTACTAATTATTGACAGATATGATTTTCTTCAAAAAACAATAATCCCGCTTCAAAGTTCTCTTATGTTTTGACGTTTATGCAAAGTTGATGTATCGTCAAGAATCCAGATGCAAAATCCCCCTAAATTGATTTTTTTCAGTACTAAAATGATGCCAAAAATCGAAACATGATCGAACTACTTTAGGACAGTTTAGGACACATTTGTAAAATCGGAATAGAAACAAATCCTTGAAATTCAAACCTATTTTCAGCGATTGATTTGAAAAAAAAAAAATATAACTCTTAGACATGTAGCAGAAGTCACGTGACCCCCGACCAAGTTGGCAAATCTAATTTTTTGAAGAACTTAACGCCACAGTCGAATTTCAATATGATGCCAACTTTCTGACAAACACTGTAGGCATACGCGTTTCGCCCGGGGATTGGGGGAGGGGCGAAGTAGGTTTTGCCCCCCCCCCTCCTTAAATTCGCTGCTGGTTCCTTGGTAAACCGTAAATTTTGAATCATAACAGAAAATTTAGCTTCATGTCTACATAAACAAGACTTCTAGAGTTGTCTATTTATAAAACAAATAACATGATAGGAAGGGTTATAAAAACAAATCCTCTGAATTCGGGGAATCACGAGTAACTGAACTGTGGGTCTTGTCCTAAAATATATATTGGTCAGTCAGGTAGAAAGTTTAACCACCGCATTCATTCACGAACATCATCAAGTTTTTTTTTAAAATAAAACAACACTATATGAAAGCTTTGATGATAATTTCGAAATTTCACATGTAGGCAATACAATAAATGAAGGAAACTCAATTTTTTGGACTAATTAGAAATAAATATGTCTGTGAAGTTATTTCATCATAATACTTATCAATATGATGATAGATCCATTGTATGCTTCGCAAATGAAGTGTTTCATCTTCCTTTACTTACAAACAACCATACGCCTCATGTCTTCATTCATTGACTTCAATAATTTTCATGCAAGAGCATTTCAATTGGATCAGTAAATAAATTTCAGGCTGTCGCTGATGTCTTGAGCCCAACAATTTCTATAAAGGTTTTAAAATAAGTTAACTCCTATTTTTCAGCACCCCTGATTCTTGTCATTTCATTATAACATTGTCTGAAAGCTACATATAATCAATCATATATCTCATTCTGTGCCTTTATATGTTCGAAAAAAAATTGTCAGGTTTGAAATGCACGTGTCAGCTGTGCCTAAAAAATAATTATCAAGATGACACATGCAATAATTATGCTCTATAGATATTATTTCATACATTTTTTGACAGTTGTTATACAATTGACAGTCGTCAAATGATACTTTTATTCAGAAGGAATTTCGTAACGCTACCGTTCAAATTTTTTTGTATCAACCGATTGCAGTTTCACGAAAAACGCGGATCCAAAATGTGAAAAACAATTAGATGACTGCACTTTTCGGACGTAGAAGAACGTGCCATCCATATAACCATTTTTTTGTCATAAAAAATATGGAATTGAAGTGAACATTATGATAAAGTACTAGATACTTTATTTGTTTTGGTACATCATCTGGTGAAATCATGGCATATATATCAGGAAGTAGTAATCTGCTTATTTGTGGGTGATACTGAACTTCAAAATACTTAATAAAATAGATATACTGAGTAGACACCCATTTATTTTATGATGTTAATTCATCAATTTAGACATTTTCATTCTTATGATCGGCCATAGTAAGTTGATTATTTATTATGTTGTCGACTGCTGTTGAGGGTCATAGACCATGTAACTTCTGAAAATTCCGTGAATATAGCATGAGAGATGTTGGACAAAAAGGTTCAATTGTTTCATTGACTAATTCCAATTTCAATTTCCTAAGCAGTTAGCGAAAATAAAATATATAATTTTGAAAGACCTCATTAGTGTTTCGAAGCTAATGAATGTCTACAACTGGCAATAGTAAAGAAAATTTTGTAGTAGATACGGAAATAACAAAAAATAGATATAATTATCGATTAAAAATACAAAAACGTTTCAATAATGTAAGTACATTCAACAAATTTCCATTTACAAAAAAAAATACTAATAATATATCAACAGCCTGGTATAGGTATAACTAGTTTAATTACAATTACAATATCTACAAATTGAAAATAAATTATTAAGAACTTCTAGCTTAAATAATTTTTTACATTTTTATGTTTGTTAATGTTTTTATCAATTTTTCTTCTGTTATTCTTTCATCATAGAATTGCCTGGACATGAAACTGGGAACCGAAGTAACGCTTCAGAGGAGTAATTTACAGGTAACGATCACTTGTATGAACACATTAATATCAGAAAGTGATAAATTCTGATCACTCACAATTTTCTCATGCCAATATAAAAGGCGAAACTGATTTTCCGCCTGATTGATCATCAGTTCATCAGCTTTGGAACAAATTACCTTTGTAAAATTTCAAAAAGTAAAAATATAATAGTACTTAGTAGCATTCATAAGTCAAATTAATGGTACTATGTAAATTGTAACTGAAACAAGATACTGAAAAATGATAAGGTTCCAGAGAAAATTATGAAAGTTAATTCGGTGAATATCTTCAGTTGGTGACATGAGACAGGAGTTACCTATTATATTCATATAAATCGTAACTTAGTTATGCAGGCATATCTTCAACCGTTACGCAACATGACCATGATCATAGTCAGATATAACCACATCCCACCATTATCTAGAAACAGCAGGCCTGGTCGCAATGATCACGTCACTTCCATGATGATGTTGTTTTTACGAACTATTGTTTTCGCCTTGTTATTGGTCGACACGGGCCCTCCAGCGGCTTCCGTGGCCATTTTGTTGGTGCCTGAATCGTTCGCCATAGGTATGTCCAATATATTGGCACTACAAAATAAAAAAGTATGAAAATCAGGGTGATTATTCTTTTTTTTTAAGCAGAGCTTTATTCAGAAAAGTATTTACATAATTACAGTGTTTCCTAACTCTAATACATATACTATTCACAGTCCTGAACAAAAGTAACTCCTAAGCAACATATATGATGTTGGTATTGGAGCAGTGGCGGCTCCTCAGAGGAGGCAACGAAGGCTGAGCCTTCTCAGAGATTCTCCTTAAACTGATATTATCTATACTTTCTCATTAAAAGGACACCAAAATACGTGGATTTTGATTTTATCTCCTGTTTTTAGGTAAATATTTTTGAATTGGCAACAGTGCTTGCCCACGCATCACACGTTGAAGTCTGCAAATCACGCGTGAAATATTCAACTTGGCAACATCTTTGAGGCCAGACTCCTTCACAAATCTCAACCCACGCGCGCAATGCAAATGTCCGAATACTCCCGAATCGTGTCGTATCGCATTGTTATGTTTATGTTATGTGAGGTTAATGGTTAGGGCACCGAACAATAAATTTCTGAAAATGAGTGTTTTAAACGATTGCGATTTAGTGGAATACTTTTTGGTGAACCCATTCAGTGCAGATAAATTGATTGTGAAAAACAAACGTCCGACATCGGAATTAAAAAATCTGATTGTAACAGGTACTAATAAACAAAATCTGATGATTATAAAAAATATATCTGGTTTACGGGATCTGAGGTGAGGAATAAGCTATTTTGTTGGTACTGCGTATTATTTTCAACCGATAAGATAAGTCATCATGTTGGGGGCGATTAGGATATAATGATTTGAAAAATTTGCCTCGCGGATTGGATAGACACTGCAAATCATAGGAACACATCTCTTCAAGTATTAAGTTCAGGTTAACTGGTAAACAGTATGTCATTAAAGCTATTGATTTGGGTGAGTAGAGAGTTGTTTTTCACATAAATCTCATACCTATCATTCAGCCTCCTCTGTCATGAAAGTCACGAGCCGCCACTGTATCGGAGTTCCGATTGTGTCCCATTTTTTATTTAAAGCTTTATTGTAATTTTTCAATTTGTAAATTAGTGCTTTCTAAGGTTTACAGTGGATTTCTTCTCATTGCTTATACTTTTAATTGAATTTGGAAGAGAATTATATGTTTGCATTCCTTCGTTCACAGGGTTTCTTAATGCTATATTTGTTTGTACATATTGAAGGTGTAGATTATTTCGGTTCCTAATGTTGTATTCATGAATGCCATTATTGTACGTAATCGTAATGTTTGTTTTCATATTGTGGTGAAGAATTCTATGTACAAATTTACACTGTTCTAATTTGAATACAACATCAAGTTTTTGTATTTGTGTTATTTGGTATACCAAATTTGTATTTTTCCGATTCTGTAAGGAAAATAAGCTCTTAACCGCTTTATTTTGGAGTATTTGGCACCTATTTAATTGAGTTAGATTGGTTGTGCCCCAAATTATTAATAAGTATCTAAGAATTGAGAGAAAATAAGAATTATAGATCGTCCTCTTGACATTATTATTGTTCTGCTGACCTTTCCGACTGCATGTCCACCAATTTCTAATCTGAGTTCCTCAATTTTTAATTTTTTTTGTCTATAGATTATGTAGTTTGTTTTTTGGTTATTCAGTTTAAGCTTATTTGCTAAGAGCCATTTATAATATGTGGACAAGTCTCTATTGATGTGATCTACTACTCCTTGAGTATATGTGCCACTATAGACTAGGACAGTATCGTCTGCGAATGTGAAGTATCTTGCCTCCAGCCCAGCCGTTTTTAGATCAAGTACAAATAATGAGTATAGTAAAGGTCCTAGGACAGATCCTTGTGGAACTCCGCACCCAGGGCTTTTAGCATCACTGCTGTGTTTATCTATAACAAAATATTGCTTCCTGTTCAGATATGATTTTAGTAACTTAGATATTGTATTCTTGAAACCCATCTTATTTAATTTGTCTAATAGGATTGTATGATCCACGACATCAAAGGCCTTTCGGAGATCAATGAAGACCGCTATTACTATATGACCTTTGTCTTAATTTGTGGAGATGTAGTTAGTTTGGTCAGCCGTTGCACTTAATGTACTGCTTTTTTTCATGAATCCATATTGGTACTTATCTAATTCAATATTGTCTATCAGAAATTTATTCATTCTAGTTCTGATGATAACTTCAATTATTTTTGAGACAACAGAGACTAACGTTATATATGTATAGGTCTATAGTTGCCAATATTGCTTCTATCACCTGCTTTACTGTACAGGAATCACAGAAAATATAGCAGATACTGAAAAATTGTTGATAGGTTAAGGATAAGTTTAATAGCATAGAAGATTTCCAGACATAAGAGTACATTGAAACTTATAAATATTATATTATAGGAATATTGAAGAAATAGTAAACGCATCCTTATATCACTAGCAGAAGTGTAACAAGATGAAATGAAGCTCAGTTCAGCAGGATGGCATAGCTAATTTTATAAATCACCACCTATAGGCATGAAAATCCGTAATTTTATCAGTTGATACCCAGCTATCAGTTCGGATTCTCAACAAACGTCACGTCACACAATGAAAAACAGGGCCTATTTGATATTTCATTATTACTTCAATTAAAATCCATAAAACAAGGACGAATAATAATATCTATCTATTATTTTGATCAAAAAGTACTTTTTTTCACTCCTCTTTTCTGTCAATTTCTATCCAAAAAAAATGTTCAAAAAATCAATTTACATGAACCGTGATGATGATGTGCTCAGATATTCCCTACATTTAAATAATGCTCCAACCATGGGTAATTATTTTTAGTTATGTGATCTATGTGGTGTTTCCAGCTCAAATTTTCATCCAATATGAGACGTAATTATTTGATATTGTTAACCAATCCTCACATTTTTTAGCGCAAATGTAAAATAGGGAGTATTTAATTTCGCAGATTTTAGACTGAGCTTGAGTAAAGAATAGAAAAAACGGACACAAGACGGAACCTTGAGGCACGCCATTCATTATTTCAGGTATGTTTCTTGCATGATTTTCCATGTAAACATACTGTCTTCTACCCTTTAGGTATGATCTTTTCAAGTTAAATATCTGACCCCTAAACCCCTACTTTCTGCAATAATGTGTCATGATCAACAACATCATATGTAGTAGGTTTTTGGGACACCCTGTATGTTGTACACTATACTTTCTCTCAAAATATTTCAGAAATGAAAAACAAAATAGCATAACGTCAAACTCAATAATACATTATAAATTTTTCGAGTTTGACATCGCAGTTACCGAAATTAGCTAATGTTTCTTTATTTAAATGGAAAAGTTAGCATCTGGTGCAGTTTGAAATGATTCTCAACTGCTTACTGAATCATTCAAATACAGCTGAATATCGAGATCACATTAATTTTACTTTATTCCACACTCAACATTCCTGCGATTCAGATGAGAAAAACTGTTGTGTGTAAAAAAAAACTAATGACTATTCAGGTTATCAAAAATAATTTATGTTTTTGCCTAAACCTCTATGAACACCAAAATTTATGCATAAACCTCAAATAATGACGATTACGGGTTGTCAAAAAAGAAACTATGTTTCCACCCAAACTACTACAGATACCAACATTTATGTTGAACATGAATATCCTGTTACATTCATAAAATTAAACTGTGGTGCCACCAATTTCTGAGAGCCAGACCAAAAAAGCTAACAATGAAGTTTTCCAAAAACGAATCCAATCTTAAAATTATCCAATTCCAGTGTTTACCAGAGATCCAACAGTGGACCCAAGACGGAAGTGTCCGGAAAACACACAATTTTTGTTTTGTTTTTTGTTGTCAAAATTATTGCCTCACAATAGACTTTTCTTCTTTTTCCTTTCACACTAGCAAATTTAATAAGTACATATATCTTGTACATACAATAATGATGAATTTGAACTCAATGTATAATCATTGTGTAACACATGCTGAAGGACCTCGGTCGGTGGCCTTTTGGGTATCCAATAAAGCTCCTTAATCATTATTATTATTATAAATAATGTATTTCTGGAAATGACAATATTTACAGTTATTCAACTAGACATAGTCACCACTTATATACACCTCAAAACTATTTGAACATAGCACAGAATGGTCCAATATCTAGTGGTATCAATAAGCTTCCAAATATCATCAAAGAACAGGAAATCTCTCAAACAATACCTGCTTTTCAAGCAGGTATAGTGTCACTACACAATTGAGTGTTCCTGGATTTCTAGTACTGGCTGAATTTTTTATTATTTTCTCTATTTTTCAAAAGTTTTACTCATGAAATTGTTTGTTTAGTGTTTACTCCAATATGTGTACCTATATATAAAATGTAATTGTAACTTGTGACTTGTTTTATACCTTGTATGGTCTCCAAATTTAATAAAGTTGATCGATTGACTATATCATGATGGAACATACTCTAATGGATAATGGAAACTTTCGAACAAACGGCGAAACAGCAACTCAGAAAATTGGTGAGTTTTGTCTAATCAGTCTATCTTGAGACCTGGTATCTTCTGGATTCTTCCATTAAATTGGGGATCCCTATAATATGCTTACTACACTCAATAGGAGTATGAACCCTATTACATTAAAATCCTGTATGATATGCATCAAGATAAAAAATCATCCTACTCACCTATGACTATTAAGCGTAAGGGTATGGGCAGAGGTGTGAAGACTCAATGTTCCTGAAGAAGCATTTGGATATCCAGCAGCTCCAGAGTAAGCGTATGACAATTTGTTATTTCTTGTTTTATTTGATGCTACTGAAAAAGAAATTAAAGGATTATTGATTTGTTTCCTTCTGGTGCAAGTTTGAATATGGCTATACAAACAATATGTTGGAAGGTGAATATTCACTCAATTCTCAAGTCCATAGAAATTGTTTCCTATAGAAAGATTGCTCTCAATTTCTACAAAAAATACAAATTTTGTAGGTATGTATTCTTGAACCAAGTCATTTCCCCTACAGAATTGTTTGTCATTGATAATTTCAGGACATTGAATGCATAGACCAATGAAACAAGGAAAATGTGTTGGCAATGATTATTTTGAGGTTTTATGACTACAGTAAGAGCTCATATGGAGGAATAGACAACAGCTTGGATCACAGTACTAAGCATTTTTCCTTATTCATCCACTTTGTTTTAATCCTGGAATCTTCAGTGCATACATATTTCTTGATATTTTTTGGAAGCACCTTCTACCAGATGATTGTCCAGCAAAGATCCAGAGACATAATAATTTGATGCAATAAGTATGTGAATATTGCTCATTCTGCTGGAAATTACCTTAATTTTTCCTTGAGGGTTCTAGCATCTCTGGTCAATCATTTTGTAAAACTGTTGACAAATGGAATATTTTTATGAATAAACAATCTGTGATAGAAACTAAGTGTTCCTTTTGAAACTAAAGTTGAACCCTCTTTATGGACTCCAAGCAAGTAGTTCAGCATAAATCTGGCAAACCTCATGAAAATCAATTTGCAGAATTCTAAATAATTCTTCAGTTCCTAGAAACTCATATTGGACACAGACCTTGCAAAATTGTCATCATGTCTTAAATTACATGGTTTCCTATGGGATATTATCTTTGCTATGGTTCATAGTATGAAAAGGAGTTCTTCTAAAATTTATAGAATCGATTTTTCCTTTAGGACAATTACGAGAATCGGGCCCCGAATTCATTGAACATTTTTCAACTCACCTTCGATACCAAACTGCGTCAGCAGCCCGTTGGTATTAGCAGGCAAGCTGTCGGCACTACTCCTTGCGCCGCTTCCCTCCCCCTTGGTTGTTGTACTTACACTATTAAGCTTAGGACTAGTAAAGGTACTCGAGGAGCTAAAGTTTTTTTGTTGTTTCGAACAGCCTGCACTACCACAGTCCCGATCTACAACGCTAAAGTTCGAACAGCCGATAGTTCTGTAATCACTGTCATTGCTGGATTCACTCAGCAAGAAGCTGTCGTTATACAGAACGTTACTGGTACTACTAACACTAGGTATAAGCGTATTCAGAGCAGAGGACAGGGATTGCCTCGTGTCCGTGACTGCTGTGTCGAGGTCCAAGTTGTCCAACGTGAACGGGTCGGTAATGTAGGTGGAGGTGTCCAAGAGGGTGCTACTCCGCGTGTCCAATGTCTGGATCTCCATGGAGAAGGGCATGTTGGCACTGGGGTTGAAGAACGTGTCCTCTGACAAGAGCATGTTACAAGGTGGTTCATGGTCGGGTGGAGGGGTTTTCGGCCGGAAATGTAAACTGGAAGAAATATATTGACACTGTTTAATCTGTTTATCTCTCTCTCTTTCTCTCTCTCTCTCTCTCCATCAGGGTTATGAAGTTTTTTATTGAATGTATCATTCAATCTTAATGGTGAATTGAATCAAATTATGAATTGCTGTAAAAACAAGGCAGTGAAGCAGATCTCTTCAGAAATTCAGAAAATTCAAAAAAAGGAAGATTGTTATATATAACAAATTGTTTACATACATTATTAAGTGTAAAAACATGCAACTCTGCTCTTGGTTTTTACATTTTTTACTATTATTTATTTATTTCACATAACAGATTCACAAAACAGAGAGCTTGTACAGGATGCCATTATCCATTGATGAGTATCATACTGTTTTTAGAAGTAATACATTGTTTTTTTTTTAAGGAAAAATGAACAATTATTACAATCATATTTTCAGAGTTACAAATTCCTCAACTATTTCAAAGGCTACCAGAATCAACACCATTGTACTGAGTATGGTGTTTTTAATGTTCAAATGTTGATTGTGGACTTATTTTGGTGCTTGAGAAGAATGCATATCTACAGGATGAGCTGAACTTGATGTTTCAGCTCTATCTATTTGTCTTGTCCTCTTGAAATGTGGGAGGGCTGATTTTTATATGATAGAATTCTTATTTGTTTTGTAAATCTGATATAGATTTTTCTCATTTTTGGATTTTTTAAACCCCTTTAAAAAATCACACTTGAAGAAATAATGTTTTATAAAACTTCCCATAAATTTTTGATACTGTTTTTAAGAAAATAAACTGTTTCTAAATATGCCATAATGAAATATGTAATATTTCCAAGTAAAAAAATTTGATGAAGTAATTTTGACAGTTCCCAAATATTCTTACATTAGGGTGCCTATCTAGGGTTTATATTATCTTTGGTGATAGTGAACTAGTTTGAATCAGTACTGTTATGGTTGAATCTTGGGTTGAATAATCAACAGCTTAATTGTATATTTCAGGTTGTTATATAATTCATTATATTGTTCAGAGGAAGTAACATTGCCACTAACCAACAACAAATGTTATAGACATGTAGTGAATCACAAAACTCTCAATAAGACTATGGGATTATTCCACACTTCTCTATAGGAGTCTTTTAAAACTTACACTTTTTACTTATGAAATCCTTATGTTCTTCACAAAGTGGTAAATAAAAATGTATAGCTAATCCCACAATGAAGATTGCCAACTCACCCATCCCTCCTTAGGGACCTGAGAAAATCGACCATATCATCCTTCTCCTCCTTGTTGTAAACAGGCTCCAGAGGCACCACACCTTCTAGCTCGTCCACAGGCTCCGTCTTCACTTCAACTTTGACACTATCAAAACCGAGGCAGTCATTTGTCCGCACACTGCCACAACTAACTTGACTAAAACTAGGTTCACTTTTGACACTTTTGACGTCTATTTCCCGGACCGACGTGTTCGCGTCAATTGTCGCGGACGATTCCTGGCACGGTTCCGTTATCGAGAAGTCCAGCGTTCGCCAGAAGTCGTCATAATTCGTGGAGATCCGATCCAGGATGATCCTGCCGCCTCGTCCCACTCTTCTCCTGGCGAACCCGATGCACCTCTGAGGGTTCGACAGAGACGTCAACGAGAATCGGAACCGCTTGTCGGCCAGACCGTTCTCTTCTTTCGAACACCACGGCCAGTTTCCTTGTTGCGGTAGAGGCTGGAACAAATAACAGATGATTATGTGTGGAAGACACATTATAATACGTGAAGATTTGTACTAGCTGATGCATACACGTAAATGATCAATCGCTTTCGGGTAATAAGCCATCAACAGTGCTATTCGCGGTAGCCAAGGTCATCATCTGACTAAGCCAGGAGTTAGGAATGTTTTCCCGTAGTTTTTATGTCATCGCAACGTCAGATGATGACGGTCAAGTATTTACAAAAAGGTCCAAAATTCATAAACGGTAGTAAGAACAGACAAACATTCAACAAGTAAGTACCCGAATGAGTTTTTGTAAAATTTCATTCTAATCCAAAATGTTCCATGTCCAGTGCTACTTTCTATGGCTACAACAGTTTCTTGCCGACATCACTGAGACTGGTAGACTTCCATAAATGTAATATTTTGAACTGACTCGGTCTATATATATGATACAAGTCCACAGTAATGAGCAAGTTTCCAACATTCAAATTTGCATTCCTCTTTAAAGTTTATGAGAATGCATTGAACAAATATTTTTATTTTTTCTTGTGATCAAATTTGAGTTCATAAAAGAATCGTGAAGATATAGTTTTGGCTCCTCCGCCATTTCCATGTCGTACTACTTAGAAATCACTAATCTGTTTTGCCCAAATAAATGTATATGGGAGACCATTCAGAGCGATTTTGGCAATGGCGGTAAATTCAAATCACTGATATTGACGGTAAATTCGAATAACGAACGTTTTCACATCATAGAGTAATACCCTTAATTGGCGCAGAATCAAGTCTACTTCGCTCACGGCCGATATTGAAATACAAACATTGAAAAAGCAAATCACTATCAGCCTTAACAGTAGTACTTTTTTCAGGGAGGAAGGAAAATATTCTTTTTCTACGGCTATAACACAAAATTGCTCTTGTTTTACTGTGTTCGATCCATCAATGAGGTACTTTGTTTGCCATCAATTTCATTTCCGTATCTGATATCAAAATGACTCCATTGTGTTATTATTTCGAAAAAATCTCATCGCCATGGAATGACAAATGTCAAGCAATGTATAAAAGGATCATCATAAACATGGTTTGAGTTGAAAGTTCTACTAAGGTGTACACGCCCATTATTATAATATAGGTAGCCGTGCGGACAGAGTGTCAATATTCTAATCCGCATTCGCATGCCGGTCGTGGGTTCGATTCCGATCGACTGCAGACATTTTTCTGATGGCCCAAGAAAGTGTTTGGGATCACACGTTAAAAGGTAAGGTCCCCGTCATTCCTTGATCGCACAAGTCTCCCGCAGACTTCTGAGGGTTGCTCGTAAGGGAGCAACCGAATGACGGATAGAACGATTTTAGACCGATATAGATTTCTAATCATGAAGTATGCAGGTTTACTAGCAAAAGACACCATCAAATGAATATATAGAGATCAAAATAAAATATGGGCCAAACTTCTATACTCTATACTGTATGAATTTTCAATAATTTCTAATTGAAATTTCTCGTTAATTAGAAGGCTCGGGAAAAATCTGATATTTTGGTAACTCATTTGATGTATTAAAAATATGCACGTATTCTAGTAGTAAGTAGTTGTTGATTATTTTATATGGAATAATCAAGTTGAAAATATCAGGAAATTATATGCATATGAATGTTCATCATTTCAAGTACCATAAAGTTAAAATGAGGTAAAGTTAATACTTCTAACAGGTAATGGGGCAATCAAATTCATATGAACTTACCATATGATAAGAACACAGCTTGTTCCTTCTAAAGGCAAACTGGCTCTCATCATCGGCTTCTTCTGGTTCGGGAGATAATTGCGGAATTATGGTTTCCTCGTCAGATGACAATCCTCCAAGGGAATCCACACCACCGGCCGATCGACCAGAACCCAATGACTTGTGCTTGCGTTTCTTATATTGCCTTTTTTCTCTCCTCGGTATAACCTACGATAGAAGTCGAATAAGTGCAGTTGGTGACAGCAACAACAAATAACACTAACCTCGTCCTTTAAAACAGTCTTATTAGCCCAAATTTGATTTGGATAGTGATTGTGGAAGATCGGGGTGAACGCAGGCCTAGACGACTTAATTGCAGAAGCCTCGGCCATGACAGTCCCGCTGAAATCTTTGGCCTGATATCGCTTCTCAAAAACTTCCACAGTCAAATGCACATATTCCCTTTTGATTTTTTCACGTCGTTTCACGAGCTCCAACAGGGTCACCGCCCTGTACAAATCTCTCCTGAGCTTCAGCATTTTCTCGTAGGATGCCTCATCATTCTTTCGGTTTTTTCTGGTCTGCATTTTTTCTGTTCTTCGTCTGAAGGCTAGATAGGGATTGTTGGCGGCCGTCCCGGTTCGATGTTCGGTCCTCACAGTCAAAATCAGGGGGTGTTGCTAAAAATTTCTCATTAAATTTTGGAATAGCACATTGCTATACAGTTCAAGGTTGCTATAAATTATCGTAGCATCGTAGTGTCCGTTGAAATATCATTTGTATCCGGAAGCAAAGAGTGGCAAATGGACATCAAATAGAAAAAAAAATGAATGCGAAATCCAGGAGGGAACATTAGCCTACTAAAAAAATAGAAGCAGAGAGCGGCCAATGGACATCGAATAGAAAAAAAGGGTAGATTGCGTTCGGCCCGATTTTCGATTCACCCAATTTTCGATTCGCCCACCATCTCCGAATATACCCGAACGATGCGTTATTGCCAAATCTGAATGAAGATTCATTCTGGGCTTATCATTATCAAATATTTAAACTTTTTGATACACATAATATGTATGTATGGTACATATTTCGATTTGCCCAATTTTCGATTCACCTAATTTTCGATCTACCCAATTTTCGATCTACCCAATTTTCGAGTCACCCAATTTTTTATTCTCCCCAAATTCGATTCATCCAAATTTCGATCGACCCGAATTTCGACGTTATATAAGGAAGCAACATATTCTTTTCTGCATAAGGAAGGAGACTACCTTTTCCAAACTACCTAACCTAACCTAACCTAACTAACCTAACCTACCTAACCTAACCTAACCTACCTAACTCGGTCGAATCGAAAATTGGGTGAATCCAAAAAGCTTGGCTGGCCGAATGTACCAGCCGCATAGTGTTGCGTGCTTCGTATACCAACCGAAACGAATCGAAAATTGGGTCAAACGAGACGTTCCCGAAAAAAATGGATATGAATAAATGCGAAAACCAGGAGGGAATATTAGTCTACTGAAAAAATAATATAAATATAACAATAACAATAAATGAATTGAGATTACTCAATAAGTATCGTTCCAAAAATGTTAGACTTTGTTATCCAGACCATTGTCGTTCTAGATGACGACCTAGTTAGGTATGTCCAGACTGAACTTTGCCATCATGAAAGCTTATACAGGGTGATCATAAAAACAATTAACACTTCCAACTTCAACACGCTGTATAGGAAACCTCTAAAATTTTTTTCTACGTGCGTGTGGGTAATTTTTTTTTCTACTTGTGTGTCCACTTCCGCACTCATTTTAGTGTTGAAAGAGTCCTTTTCCGCACGCTAGTAGAAAAAATAGTGTACCTAACACGTGCGTAAAGTGACTTTTCCGCACGCGATTGCTAACGCGTCATTTGGCAATCTGCAATAGCGTGCGGAATATTATCACTTTCCGCACTTGTTAGATAAACTACAATCTGAACATCTGAATGTGGAAAAGTCCACTTTTTCCGCACTCATTTTAGCGTTGAAATTCACTTTTCCGCCCTAGAGCAGAAACATTTCTCAACGCTGAAATGAGTGCGGAGAAGAGGAATTTGTGTTTTTTCCACACTAGTAAAACAAATAGTGTACCTAAAACGTGCAGAAAAGTATGACTTTCCGCACTTGTTAGGTAAACTAGTATTTCACACTTATTGATTTACATGAACAAGTGATAGGTAAAAGAAATATTCAAAATGATCGTCCACGGGTCTGTCTATCTAATCCAATCTCTGAGGAATAATGCTGATACCTTTGTGTTAGCAAAGAGTGAATTAATACTAAGATTATTATACTTTGTGCAGAAAAACAACAATTGACAAGAAATATATCAGAAACTGAAACATACTTTGCACTTCAAGTTTGGAATGTCCATTTGTATTTTTTCTGCTATAGAAGAAAATAAATACCCATATATTAGATATGTTACGCCCCAATAGTCGAGTTTGGCAATGCCCGAAAAAAATACGCAAAACTAGTTTTGAGCAATTTGAAAAGTACAAAACTAGTTCTGCACATTTCTGAATGACCAGCACTAGTTCTTTTTGTTTCATTTAATCAGTGCGCAGCGTCCGAATAAAATAAAGTTGGAACTGTTATTTGAATAATATATTTTATTCAAATACTGACAAGTACAACAACAAATAAATATATTTTTTAGGAAGAAGGTTCATTCAGGCCGAGTTAGGTTAGATTGTATAAAAAAAGTAGTCTTCTTTTTTATGCAGAAAGGATATTTTTCTTCCTAATATTACTAACAATCTCAGTCGGATTATTTGGTCGGTCGGACCGGCTTTGGAAGGCTGTAAAATAAGCAGAACTAGTAATGGTCATTCAAAAATGTAAAAGAACAAGTTTTGTACCTTTCAAATTGCCAAAACTAGTTATTAATTATTTTGTAATGCTCAAAAATCGTATACAATTAAGATTTCGGGTTTAGGAAATATCGAGGGAAATATACGTTGCTCAAAACTAGCTTCGCGTATTTTTTTCGGGCATTGCCCGAAATCGACCATTGAGAGTAACAGATACATTTTCAGTTTTTTACTAGTAAAAGGGCGTAACTATATCATTTTCTGTAACCATTGAAGTAAAAATATATAAAGGAGCAGTATACCGAGTGTCCTTAAAATTGCCTTTTTTCATTCAAGCAAAATAAAAATCGGAAGTCATCAAAATAGATATAAACTTTGTAATTTCACAATTTCAGATTTAAGATGATAGAGATAATGTCCCTTGAAATTTCAAATTAAAAGAACTGCAATTAGAGTCCGACCACATCAACTTTGGGACACCACGTGATTCAACGTATATGCATAATATTCCACGCATACGCGACCATGTGCTGTCCCAAAGTTAACATTAACGTTAACTTTCAATAGTTAGTAGTAAATAATCAGTGTGGAAAGTTATGTAAAATTTGAAGTGACGTCTCGTATCATATTGAATGTAAAATACAAAAATTATAGAAAGGTAATTCTGAGTAAAAAATAAGAATTGAAAAAATAAATCAGGAAAAATACCTCCGCAGTGACATCCTATTATTATTTTGCTCATATATAAAATGTTTAAAACAAATTGTGAAAATTTCAAGATTTCAAATGTTCATCTTCTGAAATGGATGGGATATTCCATTGGACTTTTTGAGATTTTCTCCGCGTTTCTACAAATAAAAAATGAGTATTATTTCAATATACATATGGTAAGTCAAGGACATTTTGAGCAAATCATCTGATTTGTCCCAACATGTACAGGGTGGCCCTTTGAAAATAAAACATAGGCTCTGTAGATCGCCAAAACCGGATCATGAAAAAACTCTGGAACACGTTAACTACATTTTCGAGGTAGACATCATTCTAAAATATTTTCAGTCCAGCGGCGTTGTCGCTTCTAACGAAAAGAAGCAACAACTTTGTTATTTCAAATGGAACACCTTGTATTTCAGTGCATTTTTAGATTCTTTCCGAAGAGCTGATTTCATCAATGCATCACACTTGGGATCTAGCGGCAACGATTAGAGAGCTATAGGGTGTTCAAAATCGATACTTTTCAACTTTAGGATTTTTTTGTGTAGAAACTATTCACCATTTGTCTTAGCGGCTCATATAACCCTATCTCAACTTTCAACTCACTATCTACTGACATTTATTGAAACAAATACAGGGTGGTTCAAGATTTATAATTCTGATCACCCTGTATCTGTTCCAATTAAATGTCAGTAGATATGGTAAATCATAAGTTGAGATAGGGAAATAAAAGCCGTTTTGGCCAATAATGAATAGTTTCGACACAAAAAAATCCTTAAGTTGAAAAATCTCAATGAAATCAGTTCTTCGGGGAGAATCTAAAAATGCAATGAAATACAAGGTGTTCCATTTGAAATAACAAAGTTGTCTTCTTTTCGTTAAAAGCGGCAATGCCGCAGAGCTGAAAATATTTTGGAACGATGTCCCCCTCGAAATTGTAGTTAACGTGTTTCAGATTCTTTTCATAATCCGTTTTTGGCGACCTACAGAGCCTCTGTTTCGGTTTCAAAGGGCCACCCTGTACAGGGTGGGCCACCAGTGACGCCTCGGTCTCTAGAAGGCTAACCACTTATCTTCTTGGAATTCTTTCTCTCTAGGAAGTTGCATGTCAACATAGGCTACCATTTAAAATTATTTCGAAACATACAGGGTGTCCCCAAAAACCATAAAACACTGAAGTTAAACTTTTTTCTATCGAACACCCTATATATTATTTCATTTTGAGATTCTCCCTGATGAGCTGATTTCAACGACCCATCATACTTGGGGTCTAGCAGTTATAATTACTGAAATATAGGGTGTGAAAAATCGAGATTTTCCAAGTTCAAGAATTTTTTGTGTCGAAACTATTCATAATTGGTCAAAACGGCTTACATGTCCCTATCTCAACTTTTGATTAACTATCTACTGATATTTAATTGGGACATATACCGGGTGATCAAGATTCTGAATTCTGCACCACCCTGTATTTGTTTCAATTAAATGTCAGTAGATAGTTGATCAAAAGTTGAAATAGGGACATGTGAGCCGTTTTGAACAATTATGAATGGTTTCGACACAAAAAATTCTTGAACTTGGAAAATCTCGATTTCTCACACCCTATATCTCAGTAATTATAACTGCTAGACCCCAAGTATGATGGGTCGTTGAAATCAGCTCACCAGGGAGAATCTCAAAATGAAATAATATATAGGGTGTTCGATAGAAAAAAGTTTAACTTCAGTGTTTTATGGTTTTTGGGGACACCCTGTATGTTTCGAAATAATTTTAAATGGTAGCCTATGTTGACATGCAACTTCCCAGAGAGGAAGAATTCCAAGAAGATAAGTGGTTAGCCTTCTAGAGACCGAGGCGTTACTGGTGGCCCACCCTGTATATTGAAATAATATATATTTTTTTTATTTGTAGAAACGAGGAGAGAAAATCCCAAAAAGTCTAGTAAAACGAAGAAATGTCTCGCGTCTCCCCCATCGTGGAAATGCGGATCACATTGCTCAATTCAATTGAGACTTACCGTCTTCAACCGTTTATTCAACCAATAATCGAACACAGCTATGATGAGATCATCATCCTCTTTCAGCAATGCTTTTGCCTCATTCAAGGTGACAACTGTTTGGCCACTACTCTTCTCCAATCGATCCATCATTTCCTCAAATTTCAGAGGACTGAGGTCCAATTTTTGTGTTTGAGATTGTAACCATCGTTCGTCTTCAGAATCCATATCGTAGTCCGGAATGTCTTGTTCCATAGTGAATGCTTCACAAAACAATTGGAAGATGAAATTTCGCATGATATCTGGTATAGTTTATGCAAAGTCAGTTGAACAGATCATCAAACGAATGTCGGGCCGCGCTACCGCACCCTTTGAACTTTCAAAAGGGACCGACGGCTTGCGGTGATCTGTTTATCCAACAGACTTTGCATAAACTATAGGTACAATGGGGAAGACCACTGAGAGAAGAAATCCGTGCAAACCTCTTTTAATCGACGAATCATGAGATATTATGAGTTGAAGTTGAAGGGAATCGAATCTATATCGTTTTGAAATCAGCATATTTCATTCGATATTTCAAACAGCCAAATATGATGGTGGAGCCGTGACGTATTAGTCCCAACCTGTAGATATCTCTCTCTGATACCTCGTCATTCTGCAGTATTGCAGTGTGATTGGTCAGTTCAAGGACGATAGGCGTGTTGGGACTAAGACGTCGCACCAGTCACACCAATGAATTGACAAAATTTCAAATGGTGCAGGAATTGTGTGCTTTGAAATGGATATATTCTAATTTATTGTTTTCATCGTCTTAGCATGAATGACAAAATTCAAAATTAATTCGCTGGTTGTATTTTAGTATAGACTACACCGGAGTACACGATAATGTAGTTTTAAAAAATCAGTGGTCTCCCCAATTACCAATACCAAAAAAATCTATTATTAATTTTCTACTCAAAATTCGTTTCCACATCACATTCTACCTTCTGAGGTATCATAGGTAAATTGGTAACATCCTGATGTTACTTTGTATCTACATCATTTGAGAACATAATATGTGCTGTTACCAATAGGGTCAATAACTGGCAATAGGGAATAAAACAAATGAGTTCAATTTTATTTACCACCTTGTTTGCTAATAAATAAGGAAATTGGAATATCTGTCTGGTATCAAAAACAAAAAAAAACAGTCTGATTAATCACTCCATTGACCACCTACTTCCATTTCATAATATACAGTGTGTCCCAGCTAAAACTACGAAATCATATGGGTACACGCCTTTTTTCTTCAACAAATCGAATTGATTGTTATTCAAGTCAAAAAATTCGGATTTCAGTATCGGAAACTCGCCCAAATCGCTCGGACAGGTCGATTTCAATTTGGCGGCGCACACATTTTTCTGCAATTATCATATTCGAAAGTTGAAATCTTGAAGCGTAACGGGCATCAACTCTCGATTTTCAAATGGAGCACCCTGTATTTCATTGCATTTTTAGATTCTAGAATGATTACAGAGATATAGGGTGTTCAAAATCGAGATTTTTTAACTTTCGAATTTTTTTTTGTGATACTATTCATTATGGGTGAAAACGGCTTTCATGTCCCTATCTTAACTTTTGATTTACTATCCACTGATATTTAATTTGAACGAATACAGGGTGGTTCATAACTCTGAATTTTGAACTACCCTGTATTCGGCCAAATTAAATATCAGTAGATAGTGAATCAGAAATTAAGATGGGGACATTGTGAGTCGTTCTGCCCAATAATGAATAGTTTCGACTCAAAAAAATCCCAAAGTTGAAAAATCTCGATTTTGAACACCCTATATCTCTGTAATCATTCCTGCTAGATACCAAGTGTGATGCATTGATGAAAGCAGCTCTTCAGGAAGAATCTAAGAATGCAATGAGATACAAGGTGCTCCATCTGAAAGTCGAGAGTTGATGCCCGTTACGATTCAAGATTTCAACTTTGGAATGTGATACTTGCAATCGACTTGTCCGAACAATTGTCAATTTTTTCAACGACATCGGAGATTTGGGGGTGACGATTTTTAGCTGGGACACACTGTATTTTAAAATCCATCATTGACTATCTTTGACCTACGTGATTTTTGATATCTAGGTAGTAAGTTACTATTCACACATAATGGAGCAGTTTCAATAATAATTGCTGGGCTGAAAATAAGAATAGTCTTGGTGACAACCTTGTAATAATACAAATAATGAATTGAGGGCAGCTCCCTGATCACAGATTGGTCCTTGCAATTGCAGAACAGAATAAATACTATAGATTTATGTTAAATATATCTAAGGTAAAGACCAACCTGGACCAACCTCTGTTTACTCCATTTCCATTTCTTTCCTCTGTGTGAACCACCTGCTTCAATTTACCAATTGTCATGTCTCTATGGAGTGTTTGAAAACCTGAACTAAATCGATTACTTCCTATACAATAAATACAACAGGAGACAGGAGTATTCTGGATCTTCGTATTTCCCATTATACTAATAATGAAGATCAAAATTTCTTATTGTATATCATCCAATCGTCAGTCTAGATTTCATATTGAAGTCAATTTCGTAGATAATTATACAAAAGGATGCACAAGGGATCCCAAATGCCATTATCGAGAAAGTCCTCGGGTGATTCCTGAATATTATATTATTCTCTAATGGTTATAATTCGCCGTGATTACTGTAAATTTCTGGTAACTCTTTGCTTTTCATCACTTTTTCATTTTTTGATCAGAAATAAGTGGAACTGATTTGGAATTTCGCAAAAACATTGAAGATGGCTAAATTATGTAAAAATCATATACGTATTAATAAACAATACGGATCATAACGGGTGCCAGGAAACAATAGTTATTTGTTTAACTAGGCAGCAAAATAGTAGATTGACTGCCGTGGCTGAATTCATAGCCGAGCGTAGCGAGGCTAGGAATCCAGCTAAGGCAGTCAATCTACTTTGCTGCCGAGTTGAACATATAATTTTTTCTCCGATTGTTCATAATGATATGGGAGAATATTGTATTTGCGAATTAATACAATTTCCACAATCTCTTTATTCTTCCTGTATAGTGTTCAATTAAAATAAAATTTGATAGAAATCGCAGTTGTTGGTTTGACAATTCATGAAATTTCTGACAGTTGTGCGAAAAAATATCGGTATATTTAAATTATTATATAATGGACAGTGATAGCGACCTGGAAGTATACTTACACCTCCATTAATAAGGGAGGTGGCAAAAAATATAGAGTTGAATTTGTTGCCGGAGAAGTCTCGGATGGAATATGAAGGAAATTATAAACGATTTATGGATTTTCAATTTTGCTGATACATATCAATCAGCAAAGTAACCACTTTGCTGCCTAGGCAGCAAAGTACCCACTTTGCTGCCTAGGCAGGAAAATTAATACTTTGCTGATCAATATGTGTAAGCAAAATTAATATTTGCTGCCAATCGGAGGAAAATGAATATCCATAAGGATTTGGTGGCATGATACGCATGCGCCATGCGCTATTATAGTAGTCATCAAAGACATGCGTTTCGGTGGACAATGACGTTTACTAGCCTTTCAATCAAAGCAGTATGTGTCTGATCGTTTCAAAACTTTTCCTTATGGATAGTCATTTGTCTTCAAAAATCGGCTTCATGTTTCGCTATGGAAACAGATAGAAATTATCCGTATTGATTATTAATACGTATATGGTAGAAATACAATCAATCCACCTTGTATAATACATGATCGAATTCAGAATGGAAAATGCTTTCAGAATCTGTGAACACATAATCGTGACCTTACTTGAAAAGAAGTTGATGTAAATCTCATCAAAAGTTGCAATGGAAAAGTATTTTTAGTTTTTCTGTAAAGATTTTCCAAAAATTTACTTTCTTAGATACAACTGAGAAACTGAAAACAATTTTGACCACAGTCAATTATTGATTCCACACGATTGTCGCGTTTATAGTTTTTCATTCGGTTGTTTGATAACTTAATGATTCATCTTCCACAGGAATATTGATATTGCTGAGCGATAGTCGTTCAATTAATAAAATTTGAAATATTTAGATTGATTCAAATATAATTTTTGATGGAACTCAAACTCGAGAAGATATCTGAAATAGGAAAAAAGTGTGCGGTACTGATTATTCTTGTCTTCTCATTTCAGGTTCATGATTTTAAATACTGGATTGATGATTTTCGAGATGATTTCTATACCACTCGAGATACGATTTTTGTCTCTAGAACAGAGTTGGCATGAATTAATTCATATGAAATAAATCAGTGATTTAATTCGTGAATTAATTCCATTGACTTTTTTCTAAAAAGTCATGAATTCATTCAAGTTTTTAAAAATGAGACAAATTGCGCTATTACCTTTGATTTTAACTAGTTTAAACTGAAAAATTCGATCGTATTTTGGCAAGACTGTTATTTCAAGCATGACAGAGATTTTTCTAACAGATATATACAGTATCAAGTATCATCCATAAAGTCCATAACATGTGAGAACAGGTTTATTATCACAGCATCGAATTTTTTTCTCTCGGCGAGCCATTATGCATATCCGATAACTTGAAAATCGATTTTGACACATGTCACGTGATCACTGGTATGGTGATAAATAAAAATAATACTATAAAGCGACGAAAAGTGGGGTTAGATAACAAAATATCCATAAACATTTCTTATCAAGTTGCTATTCCACATTCAGTTTCGAGCAATTTTTGGAGGAGAATTGGAAATAGCTATATTTTTTCGAATATTCTTCAATTTTGTTACAATTCTCTTTTTTTTTTTGACAGTAGTGATGCTGATGATGTACAAGTTGAATAGAATTTATAATTCAATTTCATGCTCACATATGGGGTTTCCAGCCATTATTTGAGAAAACTGAAAATAGCTATTTTTATTTTTTTTTAAATAACTTCATCTTCCCATCTAACCCCACTTTTTGCCATCGTAATTTTTTGAATTTACCGCCATACCAGTGATCAAGTGACATGTGTCAAAATCTACTTTTAACTATTTAGTCATGCGTAATAGATCCCCGAGAAAAAATTGTTCGAACTATATGGATGATACTGGATCTATATGTATCTATTATTTTGTATTTTATCATCACTTTTAATTTTGTTTTGAAAAAATGACATGTTATATTATGATGTTATTCTACAAGATTCCTGAGGGGAATAAAAACATAGTTTTTTGTTTCTTTTCTTCTATTTCGCTTTGGGTAAATGAAATTTGTT